GTCTGACTTCTATACAAAGAGAACCTGGAAGCCCTCACCAAAAACTGTGACTTATAACATCAAGACGGGGAGCACTACAAGATGGACAAAGAGGCAGAAACTTATTTGCCCTGCTGCTGATGAAACAAAGTACAAAAGGGGGAGCATGTGTGCTAACATGTGAACTTTAATCAATGACGGTGGTCATCCTGGACTTACAAAGAGAGGCTCAAAAGAGACTGTTTCCTATGGTTACACCCAGTAAAAGAGTGCTTGCTGCAGTCAGGTAATGAACAAGGCTTTTTGGCAACAACCAGTTGAATTGATGAAATGTCAGAACTGTGGAAAATTTACTAAACTACTGTAGAACATAGTTAACTGAGAAAGTTAGCCTAAAAAAAGATAATAATAATATCAATAAATAAATAAATAATAGGATTAGTAACCTGGATTTCAGCCCAACTCACCATTGGACGTCAATATAATCTTTATTGTCCTAGGATTCTCAGCTGCAGCGGACATGCAGTAAAGCCTTATTTTCTTTTCAAAAAGTCATTCATCGGCGTCATCACTTATCTTCATTAGTTAAGGAAACGGTGTCTATTTATAAGTCTAGGAGAACGCTTTAGGCTTCAACAGTTCTCTCCTTCGAGCAAACATGCGCAAATTTCCGGATAGTTTATAGTAACGTTCCATCCCATTCCATTCATTGCATAAAAATAAACATTAAATGAATAATTTGGCATCCAGCTGACTAAATGATTCATGGAACATCTCATCCGAGACAACAGTGTTGTTTCAGCTCCGTTGAGTTTCCCAACAGATCTAGCCAAACCTAGCTGATCCTATATTTTTCTATCAGCTGTAAGTTCTAACGTAGAAAATAATGTCACAAAAATATTGAATAATTGTACCCCTCATTCGATAAAAATTATGTTCACATTTTTATCTTGTGAAATCTTTAACATAATATTTTTAATTGGCCTTTTTGACGACAATTGGCTAAAAAGTCTTTAAGATTATCATCACAGGATGGCATGATAAATAAGTAAATAACATAAATAAATAAATAGACAAAAATAAGAGAGAAAAAGCAAAATTAATTAAATGAAACGTAATAGTGATAAAAAGTTAAAGTGATCTAAAATCTGTCATTCAGCGCCACTGGAAAAAGGAAGAGGATAGGGGAGTATTTCTTAGCACAAATCACGTTATTGATTTAGCAATGCAGCTTAATTTCAGATGCTTTAAGGATGATACTAACTTGTGTTATAGATGGAGGAGTAGCACAGAAACACTTCTAGATGAGGAGATAAGGAAAAAAACTGCTGATTACCAATACTATGCACAAACAAACCTGTAACTGCAGTTTCGTTATTTATGAATTAACCTTAAGTAGTGAATTAATTCTTAGGATTTCTTGTGCGAGTAGTGTTCCTAAAAAAGAAAGAAGGTAAGAAAGACAGGTAGTTTAGGTAAGGGACAACCTGAAACTTTTTGGTTGAATTGATAGTAAAGTGATTGTCCTAATTTCTAATTGGAGAGATCACATCGCAACGTGAGTTTAGAACAGCAGTTATGGGAAGTTTTGTTGGATTAATTTGATTACACGCTTTAGGTCTTATTTTTTCTTTCCACTGATTTAGCGTTAGGTTAAGTATTTCACACTTTCGCTTCAGTCTGACATTTGCTTGGTGTGTGAGGGCACAGAGACGTGTATGGACCGTGTGTTTGACTGTGTTTGTCTTGTTTGTTTGTTTATTTATCTATATGGGCGTGGCTGAGCCTTGAGAAACATCAACAAAGCCATTGGGCTATTCTGAGTAAATTGACCAATTCAACTTCAGGATCCTGAAACAATTTGGCTATAACCTCTAATTGATGAAGGACATCTTAAGAATTCATTATACAAGGATTCCTCTCCAGTGTTGCCGGAACTGTTATAAAACCCATGCATGGTTGTATATTTTAGTTTGATCATTTATACTCATTGAATTATTGTTGTTTGCTTTATGTTTTAATTTCTTTGCAATTTTTTCTCTGTGACACAGGTGGAGATGCTGGTGGCAAAATGGATCCCACACATTTCTTTCTCCCACACACATTCTTACTCTCTCCCTCTCTCTGTGTGTGTATGTGCATGTGTATGTGTTTGTGTGTCTGTGTGTGTCCATGTCGTGATGTCACTGTACCTTTAATTGCGCTTGCTGTTCGTAACTGTATGTGTCTGATGTTGAAGGTATCAGAGGCTAGGGTCAGTAAGAGCTAGGACATTTTTGTGCATAACCTCTAATCCCTAGGCGATCGGTCCGGGGAACTTCTGGTCCGGCCGGAGTGTGAATCTTCCTACCAACTATCTGCCGAGATCAAGGACTGCACAAGCCGAGAAAGCCTTCATTGGACCAAAACTACACACACGAAGAGGCTTCGTCTTCGGTGCCAGGCGTCTGGGTCCTGCTAAAAGTCACCAAAAGGAAGTGGACGGAACCGAGGTGGACCGAGCCATACAGGATCACGGAGAGGACGTCACACGCTGTCCGGCTGGACGGGAGGAGCCTAACCTGGAAGAGAAGCAGCTGACATCTGCCTAACCAGAGAAAGGATCCAAAAAACCAGGAAGAGAAGTAGCTGACTACAGTAGCATGCCAAGCTGCCACCACATCCTGCAGGACGAGAATCTTGACATCATCACCCCCTGCAACTGCCTGGAGCCAGTGAAGGGTCCTCAACAGGGGGAAGAAGTAACCACCCTATGAACATTCTACAAGGGTTGTATTTAACACCCTCATTTATTTTAACAAGGGTAATATTTTACACCCTCCACCTGCTGACCCAATTATCCAGATGCCCTTGTTACTAGCCAATCCTAACATCTATTTGGGAGGGGAACTCTCTGATGATAGTGATGACTCTCATGATGAAGAAGATGTTGTTAGAGTGTGAGAATGTTCAGTGATTTATGTAACCATCCCTTCACCAGTTCATTTTTATGATTTTTTTGTTTGTTTTGTTTTATTTTTTGTTGATCATTGATGTCCTAGGCATGCACACTCTATGCCAACAGGTGTTCGCCCCAAAATTGAGATATGACAAATGGGGGGACATGGGGGAATTTTCCCTATAAACATATGATAATTAGGGTTTTTCGCCCTCATATGGAGTTGCATGCGATCCATACATGTTGTAACATGTTCTGTTGAAAGTATGATCATGTTTTTTGTATTAGTTTACTGCTAGAAAGATGAGTAAATGTAATCTGATTGGTTGTTTGTATTGGTATTTTAAAACTTTGCTTATTGGATTCTTTTTGATGGAATTTGGTGTTATTGTTTTGATTTCTTATATCTTTATTGAACTCTTAAAAGAGTTCAAAAGGGGGATTGAAAATATATATCTCTCATATAAGCTCTTTCATATATTATTATAAGCTCTTTTATATGATTAAATATGTATCTCTCACTTTTGCCCCTTATATATTATCATAAATACATTATTATATGCCTTTTCATGGAATCTTGTTATAATATCAAAGACCTCTCTGTGCCTTTTCTGCTCAAGCTGAACAGCTGCATAAGGGAGTGAAAGTGTTCCTTCCTTCAGTTCCTCAATACAAGAACAACTGTCTTTGTTAGCAAAGGATGTTGCAGGATGTGTCCTGATCATCTCAAGGTTGCATGTCCTTGGGATGAATTGGTCTTTCATTAACAAGGCTATTAGCTGACGTGCGTCTGCAGGTGCAGATGGCAGAATTACGTGTGTGTATGGCAAACTACGTATGTAACATTCCTGTAATCTTCAATAAAAATCAGCCGTTTTCAGCAGAACGGCGAGAGTCTGTCCGAAGCATCTGGCAAGAGCAGGTCGCGGGACTTGCTGCAGAGACTCTCCCCCTCATGAGCGGCGAAACAGTGAATGGACTTCTGATCATTTGTCTCCTCGTTCTGACAACTTTAAAGGTGTTTAACTCCATCTACTCCGTACCCGTGCTTGGTCTAACGGAAGAGAGACCAACAGAAGTTAAATGTGTAGTCGGTTCAGCCCAAAAGCTACTAACGGCTCCAACAGCTAATGCTAGTGTTGGATTCAGACAGAAAACCGTCGATTCTGCTACACTAAAATATTATTTCTTTCTTTCTGTAAAGTGTAGAAACACGCATAGATTAATGAGGAAACCCCCAAATGAGTAAAATCAGCTCATTTTAAGCAGTGACTGTAAGGTTCATATTTGACATTACATCGCTGCAGTACTTTTATTTAGAAAATTACCAGTGCTTTTACATTAAAACCGTGTGTGATTTCCTGTCTAGCCCTATGTTAACTGCGGAAATCAACGTGTCGCAGAAGTGGCTCTCGGCAAAATTATAACCCGATCCTATCTTTAGCGGAGCGGTGTGCGGGTTTCGGTACGGGATCTGCTCGGGTACAGGATCGGCTCGGGGTCCTTCGACTGCCGATGACGTCAACGTGGTTGATTGGCTGAACATGAAGCTTACGGAAGTGACGTAATCACGTTATGATGATATAGTCTTAGCGGTTGTAGTCCTGTAGTCCAAAAATCAACACGTTTTGGAGAAAATATGTTTGAATTTCTAAAGGAAATGTAAAATATAAGCAATTGATAAACGGTGACCCTCAAAATCTCTTGAAGTTGATGAAATGGGGCAAAATAAAATATAATAACTTTATTGAAAGACACCAAGCAACATTTAGAGTCAAAGAATGTATTTAGATAACAACTAAGGAAATATACAGACGAACTCCACATTAATACAAACAGATATGGCTTCACATATAAGAACTGTCCTATTGTTTGTCAGTCCGATGTTGGTTTTATGCAGTTTCACATTCTTTACAAAACAAAGATAATATGGTGTTTTATTAACAAATTACAATTATAAAGAAAACATTTAGGTGTTAACAAACAAGAATTTATTAACAACACTGCTGACGTCTTTCCAAAACGTATGTGTGAAAGCCAAGTAGAGTTGCAGTCATGTGAAGTCATCGGCAGTCGAAGGACCCCGAGCTGATCCTGTACCGACACTGGCTTCCTCAATGATCCAACACAAGATGAATGCAGTAGTATATCACTGCAGAATCTAACCCTAACCCAGGCAAAAAAGGGTTTGGGGTATTTCTTATGAAGAAATTACAATATCACATGGTACAATGTTCCAAAAAGTAGATTTTTTTAATGATCTGAACATTTACAAAAACTGTTCAATCAATGAACCTCTGTCCACAGTCTTGCGTTTTATGTGATATTAGTTATAGCTCCCCCTTCAGTTCCAGAACGTAAGTGTTGCATTTTCCAAATATGGAATGAGTCTGACTGGTAGCCCTACAACGCCTCTTTCTTCGTGCTGCAGCCAGGGCCTTCTCGCTACTTGGGCCAGCTCCTCCAGGAGAATCCCAAGGTGTCCCCTGGCCAAACGAGTCCTTCCAGCGTATCCTGGGTCTTCCCTTTGGTCTCCTCCCAGTTCGAGCACAAATGTTTTATTGTTAAAATGTTATAATTAAAACAGTTTTTTCTTTGTCTGGCTTTTATAGATTAACAGATAATGTACAGGTCAAACAGCGCTGAGCAGATAACAGAATATCTAGTGGTAAAATCCAACAATATAAAATCTTATGTAACATGATATGTTTTTGTTTTCTTTTTTAGACTGAGAGCTTTGAGCGTGGTTTGGTGCATCAGCAGGTAAGTTAAGCACACCTGGAGGCTGAAGGGGGAAAATCCATCACGTTTATTCTTTGTGGCCTTAATGTAGCCTTGAGTTTATTGTCTCATCAGTAATTGGGTGGTTGCAGATTCAATAACTCCAGCCATGTTGATCAGATGTGATTAAATTGAATCTACTCATCAGTGCACTGAGTTTAATTCATTGTTCAAATGAAATGTTTACTGTTTAAGAAACGTTTAATGTCTGTTTGATCTCTAGGTGATAATTTACATTTGGAAGTAAAGCACATTTTATATGTTGAAGACAGAATTATACTGGAGACTCATTATTTTCTCTGTTCCACAGAAAGAACGTGATTCCTTCTTCTGTGCTTACAGGTGAGTAAAACATGTTACCTGTGTGAAACTTGGAGCTGTCTTCATTTAATTTTATTGCATAGAAAATAAATGCAGACTCACACATCTGTCTGTCTCTGTCTCAGTGATGGACTGGTTGGTGTTTATATGTAGAAACCAGAACTTTCCAGACTACTAATTGTTGGGTTTCTGTTCTCAGAATATTTCCTGTGTATCCTGTGGTGACTGGTGAGTAAAACATGTTAAATGTATGATGGAGGTTTTTCCAGGTTTTCTACAGAGGTTAAAAACAGCTGTTGTCTGAAGAGTGTCTGCTGATGTGGCAACAGGTAATCAGGGAGACACCGATAGCAGATGTGCAAAACAAGGTAACACAAACACGGTCACTCTTGCCCCTCCCATTGGCCATCATTCCCAGGCCAAGTCTGGCAGATGTGGAACCTGCATTGCCAGAGAAAACAAGAAAGCGCTAAACATTGGTCGCCATTTTCTAGGACCAAACGTCTTTGACTTGGGCTTTTCTTTCAGTCAAGAGCAGGTAGAGGTGCTTAAGTGTATCTAGAGATGCTCCGATCTGATCATGTGATTGGAAATCGAGTCTGATATCGTGATTTTTCAATGGGCCTGAATGAACTCTATCAGAGTTTCTCAGAAAAATTAGTTGTGCAGACTTGCACATGCACCCACATACATAACAGACTCACTGCTCAGTAGAATGAGCAAACATAGAAACTGCAGCAGGCTGGAGGGTTTCCACTCCACCTAGATCACTAGAAGAAAGGGAGGAGAATGTTTCCTTTATGGAGGCAAGCGGCTCTGAGCTGTAACGTTTTCATATCGACCTGTGAGATGACTCTTGTCGTGAGTTGCCACTATGTAAATAAACTTAATTGAATGAATTCTGAGTGGAGGTGTGGTCATGACTCAGCTGGAGTCCAGTGCAGTTCTGTCATTTAACGTCACCTTGTACCTTTTAGCCATCAGCTGTGGCAGATTCAGAATCAATTTAGAGCAGAGTTTTAACCTGGAGATGGACAAATGGCTATGGTTTGAAGATGAATTATGAAATTTTAAGTAAGCGGAGGCTTACAGCTGTGCTTTGTGATAAAGTAGGCCCAAGTCTAAAATGACGCCAGTTATTCATTTATGTTACTAATTACTTGCAGTCAGTCTGATTGTTTAGGTCACCAAGCAGAATTGGGATAGCTAAATAGTAATTTTAAGGATGTTTTACTCACAATGCTAGTTGGATCCATTCACTTACTGTGTTTTATGCTAAGCTAAAGGAGTACAGCCGGGTTGGGAGCATGACTGGGCTGGTTACAAATTGATTTTTTCCTACTTATTGAAATATTAAACAAAAAAATCTGAGAAATATGTCAATAGACAAATTAAAATTTTGGGTGGAATATCCCTTTAAGGAGGACACTATGCTACATGCTTGAAGGATCCCATGTTCCTGAGAAGGCTGTGTGAAGAAAACCTGGCTGCATGTGGGCGGGCCGACCAGTTTGATGTTTGTGTTTAACCAAATGATTTCTTAGCTGTTGTTATTATTAACCATATTTCATCAGCTTCCATAGCTTCAGAGTAGTAGCAGCTCTAGATTTTGAATATGTACACACACACACACACACACACACACACACACACACACACACACACACACATTGACCCTTTGAATTTATGTCACCTGATCTCATAGGTCCATCATAGCAGAGGGTAACAGTGAATTATGAAAGTATTGAACGATGGGCAAAGTGACGACTGAAGTTGTTTTCTTTACCAGTTTAGTCTGGCTTCTACTTGTTCTAGCCCAGTTCACTTGTGGGAAGGTTTAGTACTAGTGTTCACAATAGTTAAGTGTTAACTAGCTTAAGAACATTAGCTCACGTTCTCCCTGCTGTTGGACACCAATGTAAACAAATTGCCCAGTTTGCCAGAATGCACCCTGCTGGATTTCTAACATTAGGGGACAACCAGGGTTCACCTTACACCGGAGATGATTAAAAACAACTTTAAAAGTCTGGATCCCTACCATTTGTTTTTGTTTTCACTGGCTGGGTCATCGGGTTTAGATGCTACTTTCACACTGGGGCAAGACGCTGAAGCTCATCATGCAAAATAAATGATGTCATTTTCACACGTAATCATTTATTGGAACTATATTACTGGCATATAGTAATTCACTATAGTGAATGGTAATGTATATCCTTCAAAGTGAAATACCGGAGTATCAATACTAAAAAGATATGTAAACATGGCATTTATCATTTCAGGTCCATCTTAGCCAGTCACTGTCTTTCTCATTACATATTTGAATGTTAGCCAAAGGTGCTCTCTGTAAATCCAATAATACTTTGACGACTGCTAGTCTGATTGGCTGCTGTGATTTATTCGTGTCCTCGGTCTCTATCAAAGGCATCAAAACCAGACTAGTTGAATCTAGACCTGTGTCTGTTATAGAGGTGTGAATCTTCACTTGTCTCCCGATTCGATTACGATTATTGGGTCAACGATTCAATTCGATTCGATATCCCGATGCATCACGATGCATCACGATTATTTCATATTGATTTGTTTTCATCGATAAATAGAACATGTCAGATAATTGCTTTTTTTAAAAATCAAAAACGTAATTGATACAACCTGCCAGCCCTCAAAAGCTCTCCATTCACAACAGGTTAGGACAAAACATTTAAACATTTAAGAAGATTTAACAAAGCAAAACATCTGTTTCCTCTTTCAACACCACGCCTCAGGCTGAGAAAACATGCTTTACAAAATCTCACAAAATCTAAAAAAGTACTGAAAACCCACAGGACACAACATAATGTAATAATCAGATACAATAATGGGTTCATATATGAGTGTTTAATGTCTCTGAGCAGCTCTAGAGTCAGATATTTATGCCACAGTTGAAGGGTGTCAGAAATAACACCAAATGAAATGTTTGACTTAGTTTATTTTATTTGAACCCAGTGGTTCGTTTCTGAAATGTTGGAGAATGAATCAAGTTCTGTTTGATGCAGAAAATAATAAAACACAAAACAAATTCTACACTTCCAATAATATTTAAGATGTGTGTTTTATTCTTCCTGATAATAACACCAGCAGAAGGCTGTGGGCTGGATTAGGATTAAATTACCCAGGTTATGGATCTCCTTCACTAACCAGCTAACTAAAAACCTTTCCACTAACCTGTCCTGTGTGACCCTCATGTCCATGCTGTCTCTGGAGGAGCAGATAGGAGACAAGTCTCCTGTAACTTAAAATGAACCAAAGCTTCCTCCCAGTTTTTTAAAATAGAATTTAACATCAGTTTATCATCATGAAACAAAATAATAAAGTGGAACAAGAACTTCTTTCTTCTATTTCTCTCCTTCTCTGTGTCCCTAAATAAAAGAGACAGACGATCACGCTGCAGCCACCGTCATTGACCCCGCCCCCTCCCCAAGACCGGATCTCCCTACATTACAACAAGCAGTCTGACTGAGCGCTTCCAGGAGAAATAATAATTAAATTATGAAAATAATAATGCGTGTTTGGAGCATCGGTTTGGAGGAGCGTCCTCCGATCCTCTCGTGTGAGCAGTCCCCCCCCCCCCCCCCCCCTCAGTTGCTGTGCGAGCGAGCGGAGCGCGCCGCACGACAACCCGCTCAATTCACATAATTCACGGCCCAAATCCAACAGAACCGGTCGGGCTGATTCGGTTCCAGTTCGGTCTCAGGTTACAACTCAAGCGCTCAGCCCTGCAGTACTGTACCACATTAAGGCGGAACCACTTGGTAAATGTGGAGGACGCTCACTCTGACAGATTTGGATCTGCGCTGGTGCCGCCATTAAAAAAACAAAACTACATTCCACTATAATCGATTATGGCGTACTCCTCTACGATGCAGAATCGTTTATGTCCGCATCCCGATGCATCGATTATTTAATTATTTTCCTCAGCTCTAGTCTGTTAGTGCAGCCAACCACGCAGCACACTATTACCAGGTTACTGTCACTTCAGCAGAATAAAAGCTAGAAAGACTACAAAGTTGCTTGTTATGACGCTTTGCAGGTGATTACATTTGTGTGAACAGTCTTCCTGCTGTCTGTCGTGCCTAAGAGGGCAGTCCCATGAGCGGCGTGACATCACATGCAAAAGGTCAAAATGCGGGTGTGTGTATTGACCTTTTTCATGTGACGTCATGCCGCTCACGGTACCGCCCCCTTTGCCATGATGGTTGGCAGACGTGTAGACATGTTGGAACTCCTATGAAGTTAGTGAAAATAAGACAGTTTGTAGCCTTTTATCGCTTTTATTTGGTTGATTTCACAGTAAAAAGGTGATCATTTGCAGCGAGGCTAGCTTCACTAATAGACAAGGTTGTAAATTCAACTCGTATTTCTTTGTTACTTTGATGGAGACTGAGGACTGAGATGAACTGCAGCGATTAATAAAATGGACTAGCAGCCCTCCAGTATTCTGGATTTGCAGCAAACAGGTTTTACTGGGTAAGATGAACATTCATATATTTCATGTGGAAGACCGGGACAGGGACAAATGTCGTGTATGGATGGATATTTCATCATGGAGGACATGCGTTATCGTCCACTGTAGTGTAATGTGAGATAATTATTTATAATAACATTGTTCCAATGCAGTACTATGTGTGTTAGACTAGTGTTATTTATTTAGTATGATGAGCGTTGTCTTTAAGTGGTATCTTGTCTCCTCCCGGTGTGAGAGCAGCAGCTGAACCAAGTGACCCTGCCAGCAATAAAAGCTGGTAGGGATGTAAAAGTGTAATGTAACGTGACACTCTGTTTATCACGTGAATCCAGCAGGCTGAATTCTGGAAAAGTCAGCAACTTGTTTACGTCTGTGAACAGCAGCAGGGACAATGTAAACTAACGTTCATCAGCTAGTTAACAATTAAGTTTGCAAACACTGCTCTCTCTGAGCCCCACAGTGTGCTAAACCTTCACACAAATGAACTGGGCATGATCTAGTAGAAACCAGGCAACACTGGTAAAAAAAAACAACAAAACAAACTCAGTCGCTACATTTCCTCTCAATTCTCTCCATAGTTCACTGTTGCCCCACCTAAGTGTGCTACTTCTTCTGATAACCAAACTTAGGTTTAACTAGCTGAAGCAAAGCTAAAGATCACAATAAACAACGGCAACAACAAAAACCATTTCAGACGCTACTTTTCACTTTGTTTAGTATTCGTGTCTGTCACTGTTTACATGCTTTTGTCAATCAATATGGTGGATTCACATGATTAGGTGACATAGATGTGTGTGTGTGTGTGTGTGTGTGTGTGTGTGTGTGTGTGTGTGTGTGTGTGTGTGAAATTTCATTTTCAGTTTCATTTTAAATGTCGTCAAATAGAATATTTGATTAATCGATGGAGGTATCGATAGAATATTGGACAGCTGCAGCCCTAGTTTCCATCTTCTGTCTGCCCCTTCACAAAGAGCCCTGCTTTGGTGATTTGGATCAAATGTGTGAGAGAAAACTAAACCATCAATCAGGCACAAATTGAAAAGCTGTTTGTGTAACATTAATGTTCTTTTTCAGTGACTAAAGGTAAGTAGCTACAGCAAATGGACCCTATTCACCTTATTCCTAGCCTCCTTGATCCATTGTGTTAAATTTGCGACCGACTTCAGGTCGATTGTTTAACACTGAGACCACAGATGTATCGTGCAATCTGCGCTAATCCTCTTTTTATTGGCTTTTAGAGATGACCCTATTTTGGGGTTTAAATAAATAAAGCCCTGACTTTAAACACCTCAATACAGTATTGTAAATAAACATCAAACATTTGCTCATACATAAAGCTAACCATCGTCCACACCGGTATTAAGACAAAAGTTGTCGTCTTGACACCAAACCCCCCCCCCCCCCCCCCTGCATGTGATCTGGCATCAGTTTTGTCCTGAGTGAACTTTGGTCTCACATCGCTGTTTGCCTTGCAGCAATGTTTATTTACAAATGAAGCACAGTTTCTACATGAGTCTGGTGAATAAGGTGAAAAATTCATGATAACAGATTACTGTATCAATCCATGTTTGTTTTATTCTGATGGTGTCAGGTTTGGTTGTGCTTGGTCTTCTCTGACATCTTTGATCACCAAAGCAGGGAACTTAAGAAGGTGGGAGAGAACGTACAGGAGAAGAGTTGTGTGCTTCTCATGGTGCCTGAAGCTGCGTGCACTGTTTGGTTGGCAGTCACTCACTCAAACACATTTGACTCGCTAACAGAGGCTATGTGCCTTCTTGCGTTTAGAGTGACTGCAGAAAACACGTTTGAGTTTTTAAACAGTTAATAGTGAGCGAGCAACAGACTTGTAATACTTACAGAATGCATCAACAGATGTTGACTCGAGTGTCTAACATGTGTTCTTTTGTGTCTTTCAGGTTTTATGTTGTTTGTCGACCTCTACTGAACTATCATTTTGGACTCCTCTATCTTTTGTGCTTCTATCCTGCTCTGCCTTGCCCCATCAGATTCGCTATAGCTGCTGGTGGGGTTTTGAACCAAACTTTTATGGATACAATGTTTTATGGATACAAACTTTTATGGTGACAAACTTTTATGGTGACAAAGTTTTATGGATACAAAGTTTTATGGTGGCAAAGTTTTATGATTTTGTGGTGACAAAGTTTTATGGATACAAACTTTTATGGCTACAAAATATTTTTGGTCTTATGGTTCTGCGAAACCAGCCCTGCTGTGAGATTTGACATTGATAAGAACTACATCTAAAGCAATACGCTTTGGCATTCACTTTGGAAATTTGGCTTTGAATGAATAAAAACAACCAACACACTGGAAACATCTAATTTGAGTAAACTTTAAGATATAATATTTAAACTACTCTTACACATAAAGATAAACTTTTCATAGACTGAATATAATTGGTTTGTTGAGATTTGTCTTGCTTGAGATCAGCTCAAATTTATTGATCTCCAAAAACACAAAATTGTTTGAAAACAGTGCTTGAAATTAAAGTTTTATAATTGATAAATTTATAAACATACATCTAAAAACACACATTTACTGTAAAAGCACTGTTACTAGCTAGTGACCCGCTGGTGCTGACTCTGGACTGACTGCAGGTTTGTACTCAGGTTTGTGTTAAGTAGATATTTGTAACTGAAAAATTAGAAAATAAATACATATAAATAAAGTATTTCTTCTCTTTGTTTAATATTTGGATTTTTGGGAGAAAAAAAGGCCTAATAGCATTGCTTACATATATATAAACATCTAGTACATATTGCTAGCTGTTTCTTTAATATTCATAAACAGTTTTTACATTTATATACAGTTCAAAGTTATCTGTTCCAGTTTCTACATACGTTTCATATATATTTGTTTATAGAGATATCAGTTGTATTTGTTAGTTATTAGGAATTATTTTTTAATTCTACTGGTGCTAAAGTATTTTACAAAGAAAACTATTTGCAAAGGTTTTTTTTGCTTCCTTTGCTAACATTTATTTGACTTAGAAAGATACAAATACTAAAGTCTGTGATTGTGCTTCACAATTTGACCATTGTTAACTCAAATATACAAATTTTATTACATTAGAAAAGTATTCCCTGATCCTGAATCCATTATTTAACTTTTACTGACTACAGGATTAGTTTCACTGGTGATTTGTGAAGAGTGAACAACTTGATAATAACATAAAAACATCTGGACTGAAGACCTGTTGTGGCCGTTTCCTGTCTGAAGTGAATCTACAAGCAGTTGAATCCAGAAACTTGTCACCTGCTGTCCAGCTGTGTTGGTTATAGTCGCTGTTTAAGTGGTTCTTGTGTTTCAAAATAGACGTTGTTGAAACTTTATTTAACTGTGTTAGAAATCAATAGCTACTGCTGATAAAAGCTTAGGTTGGTGTGTAGTTACAGTTTAAAGTCAACGTTTAACAGTTGTTACAGAGTTCAGTTACATTTAAGCATATAGACATAAGTGTATAGATAGGTGTTGATATATAGACCTGGTAAGGATAAGAGTTGTGGAAACTGACAACCATTAGATCTAAACTGGGTGATTTGTGTGCGCTCATTCAGACACATTTAATAGTTTAAAAGATCATCCTTCATATTTGAAATAGTACTTTTAAGGTTTACTTTTGTGTATTATATACGTTTTTCTTTCTTAAATACACATTTTCAAAGGTAAATCCCATATACCATTTGTTATTTGATTAATTAAACTTCCTGTGCTGTGCCCGAGTTACACAGTATTCTCATTTTTTTATTTGACAAAGTATTTCATTTGAATCTATTTCCGTGTTTAATACAAGTACATTATTAGTTGGACATCTTAATAGAATTACAGTTCACAGAAGCAGAGTTTATTGGTAAATAATTTGTCTTGGCTTAACATTGGTTTAGGTTCGTAGTTGTAAGTTTATTCCTTTACAAGGAAACTATAACTTGTTATATTTAAGTAAGCACATTTTTATTGGCTGTAATTATAGTGGGTATCAGAAACCACTGGTTTGAGTTGTGAGGTGGTTATTACAATAAGTTTCACATTAAAGTCTTTGTGGTTTTCCAGGATTATAAAAATGCCCAGAAAGAACAAGAGGTCTCAGTCTGCAAAGACCAGATGGCATAAGCTCACGGAGTCTGGCTCAGGTGAACAGGTTGATGTTCCTCAGACAACTGGAGATGCATATGCTGATGTTTTGAGAGGACTTCAGAGTCACATCGTACCTGATCCACATCAAGTACATCACAGTGCTGCAGCTGGACCATGTCAACCTAGTGAGCAGGCTAATGTTCACAGTCCTGATGTCCGACAAACTCCTGGAACTAGACCCTCCTATGCTGATGCTTTGAGAGGACACCAGAGTCATGTCATGAACTCAGAGGCTGCTACGTGTCAGGTAAATCAGAGTGATGCTGCTGGACCATCTCAGATACCTGCCCATGTCCATCCACCTTCAGGGACAAGTGTGTGTGCGACCAGGAGTCAGGCTTCAGCTGTTTATGGTGAGTACAGAAACAAGCAGTGTGCCCCAAACTCTTTGGTGTTTTTATCCTTCCTACATGAGAGTGAGACAATTACCAGCTCAGATCTGAACCTGGTGTTGGATAAAGGTAATGTGATGTACGCACAAGCTAGGCTACTTCATCCAACTAGTGTACACCTGGCTACAGACGAGTTACCTGCTGAGGTTACAGCTCGTATGACTCATTATCACATCACCATGAGGTTAACTGGTACCAGATATGGGAATTTTTTAGAAGGAGGTAATCTTCCTAGTCTTGTTCAAGGACTAAGCTGTTTGACTGCAGAAGTTCAGTATGCATTAATGTTCATGGGAGGAAACTGCATAGCTGTATTCAGAACCAGATCAGGAGAATACGGGTACTTTGATCCTCACCCCCGTTCTGCTCGTGGTCTTCTTCCCAAATGTAAACCTGGTACAGCTGTCATGTTAAAGTTCACACGTTTAACAGACATGATTAACAGAATCACTCATTTATACACATCTATTGGTGTATCTGGGTCTTGCTATTATGAAATCCAGTCAGTGGAGTTTAAGAGTGAGAACGCTGCTCCAGACAGAGACTCAACTGCTGCTGAGACCAACTCGCTGACAGAGATCGAACTAGTGGCAACAACTAAGCAAACTGGTAATCAACAAGTTACATCAAACACCCAAGAGTCTACTCCAGATGAGTCAGACCTGGCAGGTGAAGTGATGAACCACGCTGGTCCCTCTGTTTGCTCTGACACCCTGATGACATCATCTGAGCCAGAAGCTGCTTGTGAAGCAAGTGCTACTGTAGATCAAACTGCTGATTCATTAACTCAGAGAATGTTATCAAAACGTAATAAACAAGAACAATTAAAAATCTTGCGGCGATTATCTGTGTCAAAGAAGCCATCACAGAGAAAGGAAAATCAGAAAAAGAGAGAAAGGCAGTTGTATGCTACTGACGAAAGGTTTTATTCTAAAAAGAAAATGTATTCCAGGACATATGCTAACAGTTCAGATGTCAGACATGAAAAAAGTCTCTACAATAAGAATCTGTATAAGAAAAACACCAGTTATCAAGCGAAACAACAACACAATATCAGGAAGCTTTACAGAGAAATGGCTGACTACAGAGAAAAGCAAAAATCATACATGAGAAGCCTTTACAGACGATGTGAACAGGTTAGACAGAACAAGAAATCTTACATGCAAAGCCTTTACAAAGAAAGTGAACAAGTTCGACAGAAAAAGAAATCTTACATGCAAAGTCTTTACAGGGAAAGTGAACAAGTTCGACAGAAAAAGAAATCTTACATGCAAAGTCTTTACAGGGAAAGTGAGCAAGTTCGACAGAAAAAGAAATCTTACATGCAAAGCCTTTACAGGGAAAGTGAGCAAGTTCGACAGAACAAGAAATCTTACATGCAAAGCCTTTACAGGGAAAGTGAACAAGTTCGACAGAAAAAGAAATCATTCATTAAAGAGCGTTATGCATCTGATCTATCATTCCGGCTCAGACACAGAGAACTGATGAAACAGCTGATGAGAGACTATTACAATAACAATGATCTCTTTAGAAGGAGTCATAATTCTAGACGTTCTTCGAAAATAAAAAGAAAATACAGACGGATAAATTTACATATGCAGAGGTCAGGAGGTGAAACACAAAGTAGAGTGACCAACCAACCATTATCTGTTTGTGAGCCAGAGAACCCACAGATGAATGAAGCTATAGCTGTTTTCAGATCAAATATTAAATCTGGACCTACTTATGTGTGCACGTCGTGTGAGAAAGCTTCGTTCCGTAACCAGGTGAAAGTCTGCAACAGGTCAAATTATACAAAGTATCCATCTGTAGTTGCACAATGTCTGACTGGAAAGTTTCTACACATCTGTGGTGAAAGTTGTAATGAACCATGTTCTGTTCCTTTGGAGAGGAAGCATGAATGGATCTGCCACACGTGTCATGACTACATTAGAAAGGGCTCCATCCCACGCCTGTCTGTTGCAAACCAAATGGGTCTGTCAGAGATTCCACAGGAGTTAAAAGATCTGAACATCTTGGAACGACATCTGATTTCTAAATCTATTCCTTTTGCTAAAATTGTTCCACTCCCAAAAGGCCGTCAGAGACAGATAAGAGGTAATTTGGTGTGTGTTCCATCAGAAGTCCAAGAAACAGTGGATGCTTTACCCCGACTGAGAAGTGAATCTCAAGTGATGAGGGTCAAATTAAAGAGGAAGCTGTGTTATAAAGGCCATCAGCTATTCCAGACTGTAACCTGGTCTAAACTCATGCACGCTCTGCTCACATTAAAACAGATTCACCCACAGTATGCAGACATAACCATCAGAGACGATCCTCTGCTATGTGATCCAACAGGTGACAGCAGTGATGATGATGATAGCAGCATGGACTGTGGTGATTATGATGAAGATGACCTAATGCAGATTGATAACTTTGAGCAAAATGCAGTGACTGAAGCAGCAGGTGATGAGGAATCTGAACAGGTCATGACTTCTGATGACGATGAGCAGAACGTACAGAATGAAGCAGAATCCCAACAGAATGATGAAGGACAAGACTCAGATCTACCTAATGGAGGTTTTGCTCTAGAATCGTGCCTTCAGCCTCTAGACATTGCAGAGGAGATCCTGTGTTACAGTGACAGCACGTATTGTGTTGCACCCGCAGAAAGAAACAGTCCAGTCAGCTTCTTCAGGACACCCAAACTGGAGGCCATGGCTTTTCCTGTTCAGTTCCCTACTGGTCAGAACACTCTGGATGAACCGAGGCGTATTAAAGTCACACCCAGCTCTTATTTCAAGTCCAGATTGTTTCACATTGATGACAGATTTGCGAGAGACCCCAACTACTTGTTTTTTGCACAGTTTGTGACTGAGATCCACCTGGCTAACTCCAACATGATCATACAGCTGAGGAAAGGTAAAACTATGAGCAGAGATGGGCGGAGAATAACTTCTTCTATGTTACAGAATAAACATGAGGTTCAGAGACTGGTGAGAAATAAAGATGCAGTCAGATTTATGCAAACTCTGAGAGGAACACCAGCATACTGGCAGAAAACCACTAAAGATCTGTTTGCCATGATCAGACAGCTGGGAACTCCAACGTTCTTTTGCACCTTCAGTGCTGCTGAGATGAGGTGGAGGGAAATCATCACAGCTATAAAGAAGCAGCAAGGTGAACAGGTTGATTTTGAAAGTCTTGACTGGTCCTCAAAATGTGAAATCTTGAGATCTAATCCAGTTACAACCATGAGGATGTTTGACAAACGTGTGGAAGCTCTGTTCAGAGACCTGCTCATGTCCCCTGCTCAGCCGCTTGGTGAGATTGTCGACTTCTTCTACAGAGTTGAGTTCCAGCACAGAGGAAGTCCTCATATACACATGATGCTCTGGGTTCGTGGTGCTCCTGAATGTGACAAAGATTCTGATCAAGCCGTCTGTGATTTTGTAGACAGATACATCTCAGCACAGCTGCCTGACCCAGAAACACAACCAGAACTCCACAAGAAAGTCACAGAAGTTCAGAAACACAGCAGGAACCACACCAGGACCTGTTTTAAGACCATGAACTCTGGCTGTAGATTTGGGTTCCCTAAACCACCCTGCAGGAGAACAATGATTAGCAGAACCGATGAGGAACATGACCAAGCTACTGCTAAACAGAAACTCAGAACTTTGGTGAGTCTGCTCAATGAACCAGAAGCTGCATCACTGACTTTAGACCAGATTCTGTCTCGATGCACTTTAACCATGAGTGAGTATGAAGAATGCATCCAGTCCATGAACAGAAAGACGGCCCTGATCCTGAAGCGAGATGCAAAAGACAGCTGGATTAACAACTACAATCCACATCTGCTAGAGGCCTGGGACAGTAACATCGACGTGTCTTTTATCCTGAATGCATATTCATGTGTGGAGTATCTGACCAAATACATCACAAAGAAGGAAAGTGGGCTTTCTGACTATCTGTCTACAGTGATCAGTAGCTCTAACATGGATGGAGTCAATGAGTGTGAGGAGATGAAAGCAGTCATGCAGGCTTATTCTAAGAAAAGAGAGATCAGTGCTCAGGAGTGTGTGACTCGTGCTTGTGGTCTTAAGATGAAAAAATGTTCACGCAGCATTGTTTTTGTCCCCACTGATGACAACCCAGTGAAAATGAGCCGTCCCATGTCTTTCCTGGAGAACACGACACCAGACAGCTGCAACATCTGGATGACAAGTCTGAATGACAAATACAAATCCAGACCTGAGACTCCAGAGTACGAGGAAATGTGTTTAGCTGATTTTGCAGCAACATGCAGGTTTGTAAGTGAAAAAGAAAGTGTGCGCAAAGATGTCCTCCCTCTCCTCAACCAGCTGGGATTTGTGCAAAGGCGTCAGAATAATAAGCCTTGTGTCATCAGGTTTTATCACTGCTCTAAAGAGAAACACCCAGAGGAGTTTTACGGAAGACTGCTGAGACTTTACCTTCCACACAGATCAGAGCAGGAACTGAAATCACGCCGATTACAAACTCATCAGTCCTACTACAAGTCCGGCTGGGTCCGACTACCAGGTTCAGAACATTCTGAGTTTGTCAAGGACATTGTCACCAGAAACCAGGACAAATATGAACGCAACAGTAAAGAGATCGAGTCTGCTCTTGAGGAATTTGAACGGGACAGAGGTGAAGGTTGTGATGAGTGGTCTAATCTTGCTCCAGAATCTGAAGTTGTGAGACTGCAGTGCGATGACCAGCCAGAGGACCAACAGGAGGATGTTCCAGACTACTGTGCTCCACCTGCAGCAGAAGTCAGAGCTGTCAGAGAAACACCTGCCATCGATCCCACTGTGTTGCGTCAGATGTACCAGAATCTAAACCAGAAGCAGGCCTGTGTGTTCTATGCAGTCAGAGACTGGTGTATTAAACGTGTGTGCGGCCTCAATCCAGATCCATTCTTTTTCTTTTTGGAGGGAGGTGCTGGTACTGGCAAATCCATGGTTGTCAGATGCATTCACTCTGAAGCATCCAAGATTCTGAGCAGACTGCCTGCCGAGGATGTTGACCTTTCAAACCCAACTGTTCTGCTGACGTCATTCACGGGAACTGCTGCGTTTAACATCGGTGGCACCACACTGCACTCGCTCCTCAAACTACCCAGAAGCCTGAAACCTCCCATTCAAGGACTTGGTAACCAGCTAGATGAAGTCAGGTGTGAACTTCTGAATGCAGAAATCCTTGTTATCGATGAGATTTCCATGGTTTCAAAGCCTCTGTTTGCCTACGTGGACGCTAGACTGAAACAGATTAAAGGAAACCAGAGACCATTTGGTGGAATGTCAGTTTTAGCTGTTGGAGATTTTTATCAGCTACCACCAGTTCGACAGTCTAAGCCCCTCTGTGTCTATGACCCATCAGACATTGACCTTTGGCAGCCATATTTTCAGATGGCAAGTCTGACTGAAATCATGCGGCAGAAAGATGATGTTGCCTTTGCAGAGATGCTGAACAGGATCAGAGTGAAGGAAAAGACAGATGAGCTCTCTCCAGCAGACAGAGATATGCTATCACGCACCATCACTGAACCAGAACTCTGTCCCTCTGATGTGCTGCACATTTTTGCCACCAACAAGGATGTGGAAGCTCATAACTCAGCAACACTGGAACGGCTGCACGATAACATCATCACAATAGATGCAGATGACTTCCAGAAAGACCCACGAACTGGCAGAATGGAGAGGAAAGACACACCTTTGAAAGGAGGAAGAGGTGAATTGTCTGACTGTCTGAAAGTGGCTGAAGGAGCTCGAGTCATGCTGACGAGAAACATCAATGTCCAGGATGGCCTGGTTAACGGTGCTTTTGGTAAACTGGTTAGAGTGATAGCTTCTGAAATAGACCCCCAGCACATTTTTAAACTTGCTCTGAGAATGGATAACCAGTCATCTGTCAGGAGCAACCGCCATGGAGCTTCTGGGTCTGATGATCTTGTTTACATCGAGAGAGCAGAGGACAGCCTGAAGCAGAGAGGAGGTGTACGCAGACAGTTTCCTGTAAGACTGGCTTTTTCCTGCACCACTCACAAAACTCAGGGTCTCACGACACATGCAGCTGTGGTCTCACTGAAGAACATCTTTGAACCTGGAATGGCATACGTGGCTCTGAGTAGGGTGACTAGCCTCGGTGGACTGTATCTCCTGGGTTTGGATGAGAGAAAGATCTACGCCAATCCTGATGTGACTGCAGCACTCCAGAGCATGAGACAGGCCAGTGTGGATCAAATGATGCCTCTTCTTCTGGTGAGAGAAGCAGTAAGCAGACCTGACACTTTGACCCTAATTCACCACAACACAGAGGGTTTACCGGCTCACATCAATGACATAACGAGTCACCACGAACTGTCTTTAGCAGATGTGTTGTGTCTGACAGAAACACACCTGCAAGGTTCTTTTGTTGCAGAAAGTCTTGTTCTGGATGGCTACACCATGTTCAAACGCAGCAGACACCAGTCCTACACCAAGTTTCCTCAGATGGCCTGCAAGAGTGGTGGTGGAGTTGCTGTTTATGTGAAAAACCACATTCACGTCCGTGAGAAACGCTATGTGCACAATGTGACTGATCTGGAGTTTTTGGTTTTGAAGGTTGAGACACCGTTTCCAGCTCTGATTGCAGTCATTTACCGACCTCCAGACTACATCATGAGACCATTCATGGAGAACTTGGTAAGCCTTTTAGACTCTCTAGAGGTCATGGACTGTCATCCAGTCATTGTATGTGGCGACTTTAATGAGAATCAGTTTTCAGGTGGAAGGAAGCAGATTGTAGAGCACTTTCAGTCCAGGGGGTATGCACAGATGATCACTTCAGCCACCACAGACAAGAACACACTGCTTGACCTTGTTTTTATCTCTCAGCCCCAGAGGAGCTTACATTGTGGTGTCCTGAGAACCTATTATAGTTACCATGACCCGGTTTTCTGTGTGTTGTCCTCTAGCCAACCATGAAGTGAGGTGAGTTTTAATCATGGACAAGTGGAGTGACGTGTTAATGCAGAATAATGTTTTATTTTGAAAGTTTGATGATTTAACAGGATTGAATCAAATCTTTTCTAGTATAAAGTCTGTCTGAAATGAGAATCATGAAGTTTCACTTTGCTTTTAGCCTATATTTATAATCACAGTTTAAAGCATAAGTTATTGGATGACAGGTCATAATTATGGAACATGACAATGCATTTTTCTGATTGTTCTAAATATTGTAAATCACTACGTTGTTCATGTAATTACATTTTCTACCTTTTTATTACTATGGATTCATGTTTTCTACTACAAACAATTTTATTCAGAACATTTTTACAGATAAAATCTATATGAAAACTGATTTAGACAATGGCGGTCTGTGCATTTACCTGGGTGGGTGGGTTAAGGGAGGGTAAATGCACAGGTCCGACCATTGACTGCATAAAACCAGCCGGCACCCCACTAAATAGGGGGAAGGGGTGGTTGGGTGGGGGTAAATTTTCTTTTTTTGTTAGGTTTTTGGAAGATTTATCTCACACAGGAGACATGTTCTCCTGTATCCTTTGATAAAACACCTTCAAGCTTCTTCAACATCAGCACAACCCAAAACATCTCAGCATCAGCTTCATGAACTGATGAGTCAAACCTGCACCGCCATTGCTGGACCACACAGGGACATCACAAAGACTGCTGTTCCACGAGCTCTCATCCCACAGGATACAGCTCCTGTCAACCACCACCTGACCTTCTGGCTCTAAGAGCTTCACCTTGCTGCTGCCACTCTCTACACCCGCTGTTCTGAACCATCAAAGACATCTCTGCCTCCTGCCAGGGTCCAGGATCATCTCAGATGATGGAAGGTGTCAAATCTTTCCTGTTAATAATGTTATTAAATGCTAAATATTTCCTTCATGATGTTTAATGAAGTAGAAAAAATGTGTTCTCCAGTTTCAGGTGTATGAATGTTAATTATTGTCTATTTGCAGGTTTCTTCTGCCTTCATGTTACATCTGAGAGCACTGAACCAACTGAAACATTTATCAACACTCAGTGACATCTGGGTGTGGGACAGACCTGGTCAGGAGATGTTTATTTTCTTTTGCAGGACTCTAAGGTATTTGATAACATTTGATCATTAGTTTCATATGTTGGTGCTTTAACACTAATGTAATATTTTATTTCTCTGTATTGTTGGTACAGTCTCTTCCTTGATGCCTGCATATCCTCCTCTGAGATTCCTCTGTGTCACCGTCTGACCTCGTCTGACTCTGGTTGCTGCAGAGATGCTGTTCATACTCATTTCCTACTTCACTTTTGCAGCATCATGTCTACCTCATGAGGCATAAAGGTAACAAATCAACATTTTTACCTCCTTGGTTTAAAACACATTTCTATTTGAGTAACAAACGTGTTCTCTGTGTTCTTGTCTTAAATGCCTGTAGCTGAACGTCCTGTGCTACAGCAGCAAACACTGAAGCCGCAGGTTGTTGCACCAATAAACATCCACTCTGGCATGATCACACTAACATCTTAACACGGACACTCATTCAGCTGACGGTTTCCATCAGCAGATCCAGGAAACAGGAAAATGTCCCATATGATCAAACTGGAACTCAGCACTCATTTCAAGGCTGTCTCCACTTTATTTTGTCACCTGTCAGTTAAATGAACCATTTATCTATAATATGTATCTGATACATTATAGTTTTCATTTGCTTTAGTTTCTCCTCTCTGTTATTATTGTTAAAGGATAATGTAGAACTACAATGATGGAGGTAGCCCTGTGACAGGCTAACCCAGTGTTAACACTGACCAGTAGGCGGGTTTAGGCAAGGCAAGACTCACACAAACATATCATATGGTCACCTGCATCAGTGTCAGGTGCTGTCTGATCCAAACCCAGCAATCTTGTAAATATAGAACATCCCTACTTTAATACTTTATGTACTGAAATTGTTAAATTCCAAACAAGTAAAAATGAGTAAGCAGCTCCACTTTCTATCTGCTCTGTGCTTGAGTGAGTCCTGTCTGGGTGTGGGGTGTCGGCTGATATGTAGGTATAGGACAGGTGTTCCACATATGTGCTGTGACACCAGGTAAACTCATACAACACACCTCAGTGTTGAGATGGGAGTCAAACTGAAAGTATTCAAAGATGAACCGGTCATATCTAGTGAAGTGGGGGCTTTTTGATAAAAAATCTGACCTCAGGTCATACAGGTGACCAGGATTCTAAGATACATTAAACCAAACATCCCAAATTTAGGTATTTATCATGATTTTGATCTGTTTTAAACTCATTTTAAAGAACAGCTGTGGTATCAGAACACATTGTGTAAATATTTTAGCTTAAGGTTAACCATTAAGGTTTAACTAAACCATTTTTCACTTTTACATTTACAAGTTTTATAGAATACATTTTATTTTATTTATTTAACTAGTTCTCTGACTCACTAACTGCAACCAAAGCCCTGACATGTTCTCCTCTTTCCCCAAAAAATCTGAACTAGGGAGCATTTATAAAACTATGACAAACAAACAATCCTAATTCATGAATTACTGACCAATTTATTAACTCAGTTGACAGTATTTAAGATAATACTGAATTGTGCACACACACACACACACACACACACACACACACAAACATTAAGTGGAATGTTACCCTACGTACAGTGTGCTGCATTCACCTTTTAAGTTTTTAGTTTCCAAGTCAGAATAATGTTTAAGTTTTCTTTTTTGTGTTGGATGTCAGTGAGCTCATGCCTTCATCATAAATATACTTTGTTCTTAAAATAGTTTGAGTTAAAAAAACAAATGTTGTGTTCAGCTTAAAGCATGTCTCCACAGTACAAACAGGTGCCGTTGTCATAGTTAAATTATAATCATAATGATTATAATTTAAGGATGGTTGGTACAAGCTTCCATATCTGTAATTTTATAGTCT